TTTCGAATTGCCCTCTGCTCATCCGTACTAATGAATGCAATTGGACAAGCGGACACTGTGTTAAAAGCAACAAAGCAGCCGTGTGTGTGTGTGTGTGTGTGGAGCAGCTCTGGCCCGAGGCGACCGGGTGAAAGTGATATGTGACCAGGTTGAGGGCCTTAACACTCAGTGAGCATCAGGGAGGGTCTGTTGTCAGAGGGACTCTCCTCTGGGAGAGCGGCAGTGCAGGAGACTCAGCAGCTCAATCTCTCCCTAAGAGCAAAATCAATAACTTATTACATAACTGCACACTTTTCTCCTTTACAGAGTGAGAGAGAGAAGGAAGGAAGAAGTCTTAGGAGGTTTGTTCTAGTATGAAAATGTCTTGCTAATATCACAACCAGGACTTCAGAAAATGGCATGGGAGCCATTGGAGCTTAAATGAATCATTTAAGAGCCAAATAACTTTTAGTTGACAAATTAGAGAATCACTCGATTGTTCAGAAGCGCTGATGTTCGTTTTTGTCAACTGCTGTGGTGTAGATCCACTGGGATGTGTTTTAAACACTATGAATTTATTCTCACAACTGTTAGAAGATCAGTTAGTGTGTGGAAAAGGGGTGTGTAGTAGACATAACTGATTCGATACAACCAGTGTTGTAGTCGAGACCACCTCACTCGAGTCCGAGTCGACACCGAGTCCATAGAGAGTCGAGTCCGAGCCGAGACCGAGACCAGTGAGGGTTGATTACCTAATTTACTTTTATTTACTTAGAGAAATCCTTTTTTTTTTTTTTACTGAATTTACTTAGCGTAAAAAGGCCACATAGTAGGTGGTGTTAAAAGTAATATTATTACAATTTGTCATGCGCAGTTGCGCACTAGAAAATCACCAATCACTGGGCGTGTCAATCAATTTAAAGAAATATTTTATTAACATACATTAATAATCATGAAAAATATTTTTAATTGAACTCGAGTGGACTCGGGAATAATTCCGAGTCCTAAAAAAAAAAATGTTCGAGTACGAGTCAATTCCGAGTCCAAATGGACACGAGTCCATGACACCAAGACCATTGAAATATGGTCTCGAGACCGAGTCCGAGACGAGTCCGAGTCTCGAGTACTACAACACTGGATACAACCTTATTTGGATTCACTACAGACAATAACCAATATTTTGTGTAGCACATCTGAATCCTTTAGAATAATATTTTACAACAAAACTATTTTGTGAATAAGTAACTATCAGTAATTAGACAGAGAATTTATGCGATTCTCTGCACATTTTGAATCGGATATATCAGTGAATCCCCATAGCTGCTTTGAACGATTCACTGTGTGAGTGAAGTTGCCTGTGAGCTTAAGACTAATTCATTATAAAGAACCAGTTCAAACGGGACATTTGTACATGAATCTCAGCACAGTGATTTTTATTTATTTTTTTTTTAATTTAATTATGAATGGCAGTATGTTAACCATTTGTCATTCAACCTAAGAACTTTTTTTTGATCCAGTGAAACAACAGGAAATGTGATTGTGAACATGAAGCAACGACACATCAATAACTGTTCTACAGCCAAATGACAGCCTTGACAACACAGCACAATGACAGCTCCCCTCATGTTCAAAGCCACTTTCCATCTGACAAAACCGAGGGGGAAAAAACAAACAGTGCTCCGAGAGCACGCGGCTGTTCGAAGACCCTGACTGGCCGAGAAGGCCATTATCCATCAGCAGATGATTCTAACCCTGACAGTTCCGGACCCCACGGGCTTCCCCAAGGAACTCGCCTCCATTTGAATAATTAAGCCCATTTACAGTTCTCTAACGGATGACCGTTTGTAGCCTTTACTTTCACACCTTATCAATCACTTGCATGTCAAGCCTTTATACAATCCACCCACCCCCAACTCCTGGTGGCATCATTTGAAATGCAAAGCACGGCCTTCACTGAACCTGGGTCTTGCTTTTGCGTCCTTCCACCTCGGCTACTTCTGCAGCTTGTTGCGACAGCTATTGCCCTCCTTCTGTGTTCTGGCAATCCGTCAGGCTTTGACTAACTTCTGTCCAACTATTTGACATCTGGGAGATGGATGGTGTCAGCGCCTGCCGTTGCCAGTACCTCCTCCTGTTAGCATGTTAGCCAACGCTATCTTGTTTTTTCCCCATAGAATAATAAACAGAGGCTTGCCTTGTAAATAACGCAAACTGGAAGAGCGGGTCAACTATCGGTTAATATTAGCAATTTCGTTAGACAAGATACAGTTATTAATGTGATGTGATTGAGCAACATACATTCCACGGATTGTTCGCAAAAGCTTAACGGAAACAAAGAGATCAATGTCTGTGTACAAGGACTCCTTTTTTGCCTCCAAAGGACTTAGTGTCTCCATTTTCTCTGAGTAGACACTGTTGAACAGAGCTTCGCAAATGAATAGCCGCTATTTTTCCGTGAGCTCTATGCAAATAAACTCTCTAAACACTTCAGATTCCATTTTTTCCCAATACCCATAACACTGATTCTTGTAACTGCAATGAGCAGATCTCTAAAAAAGCAGGAAGGAGTGAAGCCTTGTATTACGTACCATGAAATGATTTTACGAGAGCGAGGGAGGAAGCATGTAAAACTTTTTCTTCTGTGAGATGATATTTTGAAGGTTTTTGGTCCATATGATCCAAAACAATATTTGAGCCCACTTACTTTCACTGTGTATAAAAATAACTTATTGTTTGTTCCACAGAAGAAACAACAAATTGTTTGACAACATTTATTTATGTGTTAACTATTCCTATTAAAGGACAGTTTTAGAGTTAGACATTTTCTAAGTTTGTGGCATCTCAAACACGTCACAACATCTAAAGTCTTCCGCTTAGCGCAAGTATGTAGAAAAGCAATTAAAATACCGTGCCAACGGATGTGTGTCCTGTGCGAACGGCTGTTTAGAGGAGGAGGAAAAAATGAAAGATACACAATCCTCCATCAGGCATCTGATGAATGAGATGGTCAAAACATGCATTTTCATGGCCCTCCTTAAGTTTCCCCACTCAATTTTTAATGCCAGACATTTTAGACTTTGTTCCGTATGCATGAGCGTCTGCTTGTGTGCTTGTTCTTATATAAATAGAGTGGATTTTATAACAGAACACTGTGAGATGGTGTAAAAACAGGAGCTTTCGAAGGCTTCAGGGTCACAGTGCCTTGGCCGAGCCCCCGAGGGGAGGAAGAGAAAAAAGAAGATAAAGAAAAAGAGAGAGCTGCAACATGAGCCGTATACTCCTGGAAAGATCAGTCCTCCCATATTAAAAACACCCCTGTCACTCACAGGCCTTCAGCCCCAGATACCGTGCACTGCATTACAGTTTCCCTGACAGAGGGGGAAAACACACCAGTATTTTTCAGTCTGGTTGCTGCTCGGGGGGGAACTCTGAACAGGCAATTTAATATCGGGAAGATCGCTAAGAGGAAGTGCTGATGCGGCAGTCTCATGCTCATTTTATTTAGATTAACTACAGTGGTAATATCACAGCCACTCATGCCAGGAGCGACGCACAACTCATAAAGTGACAATGGAAGGGGGCAGGAATCTAAATGGGTGACAGGGTTTGTTTGTCGCCAGCTCTGAGAGAAACACGCAAAATTGTTTGAGGAATGCAAGATGGCTTCGTAAATAGGCGATTAATTCACAGGAAAAGCAATCAAGATTTTCTGAGAGTTTGGAGTTGCTTAATTATTTAATCTATTTATTTATTTATTTTATTTATTTTATTTTTTTGCTTTGAGTAAAAATTCCAGAGTGTTTAATAGGTTAAAAAGGGTGGAATTGTAAAAAAAAAGAAATAAAAGGCATCCTTTTATGCTTAATGTGTACCAAATAGCCCATATTACATAGAAGCACCATCAACTTTCTCCTTTGCTCCCTTTCTGGCTTTTGAAATAGCTTTCAGCTTTGCAGCAACCTCTCAGCGTGAAACAGTCTTGCCCATTTCAGCTTTTGATAACATAATAGTGTTCTGAAGCACCCTTTACGTGATAACTTAATGATGTAGACGTGTATGTGCACCGCATAAAAGCTATCCAAGCCTTCCGGAGATATCAGATTAATCATTACTGGTCTGCACACTTGATAATCTATAGGTGGAGGAGGTGACCCAGATTGGCAGAAAAAAGGCTGGACGGCCACTTAAAGCACACAAAACCGAGAGGTCCTCTCCCGCAGATCCTAATCGTGTGTCATGTGACTGGCAAAAAAACAACGCTTAGCACCATTAATGGCAGTGATGGCAATGGGAGTGTTTTAGTCTTAATTGCAGAGTATATCAGAGGCAACTGTAATTGTGTTTCCTGTTCGGACACTTCTTAAATAACTCCGGGTGTCCGCTGTTTATTTTCTCTTTCCGTTAAGGTCATTTCAAAGGTCTGGAAAAGGACCCGGCGTTGGGGCTGAACCTCCTCCGGACGCGGTGTCGTTTGCGAGCAATTGGCTTGGCTCGGTGCCAAATGGAAAGAGAAGAAAAGAGACGAAGAAAGAGAGCATGGCTGTTTCTGAGAGCGAAGCTGGAGTGCTAGTTATCATTTAATTCCAGTGTCAATGTGCATAAGGCTATAAATTAAGTGCCCACAAATCAAGCTACTAACAGGGATTCCAATTATTGTTCCAAGGATTTTGCACCCACATTTAATCCATCATTATTATCTCTGCCCAATAAGCATGTTGTTTTTTTCTCCTATTTTTTTATAAATCTTTTTTTTTTCAGCATTTTTTTTTGTTTTGTGGTTGCATTGCTTTGCTGTAATTCGGATGAATTACCTCACATTAGGGTAATTCTATGCTTGGGCGCTCAGTCATCCAATTAGAACAAGGATTGTCTTGGTAAATGGACACATAAGCAAGTCTTGCACGTGATAATAACTTATTAATTGCTCCATTGTCCTCTCTTCTGTTGCATGCAAGGTTAATCAGTGTCACTCTAAAGCATGCCAACAGATGTGTGCAAAATAATGAAAATAAAGTACTCACGTTCACAGGCATCTCCCTTCTGGTGAAATCCAGCTTTGCATATACATTTCCCAATGGGAACCAGCCATTCTCCTTCTGCGCTGCAGTGCATTTTGGGAGAGTTGTCGGCCTCCTCCTCTGCGTCGTTGACGCACATACCCTCCACTTCCACCAGCGACGAAAACTCTGACCCCGTCACCGTATCTGGGAACGTGGCCAGGTTCTCAATAATCGACCAACACTTCTTGTAATACACTTTGACGGAGACCAAAGCGATGCAGGCACCTACATCCTGGAAGGCCAGGTAGAAGCCTCGGCGGGAGAGGGGTCCGATTATACGCACCTCCGTGTTGAGCTTCATCTTTCTTTCCCCCAGGTCACCCTGAGTGAAACTTTCGTCCGCAGCTATAGTGTCAATTTTCACATACTGACTCTCTCTAATATTCCTGCCCACCTCCACGTCGGTTTCCTGGTAGTACAAGTTGAACGTCTCCTTGCAAGAGCCAACCACCCCTGGAAGGCTGTTACAATCCCTCAAGGTAAACTTCAGCTCCACAAAAATCCTCTGGGCATCGCCCTTCTCAATCCAGTTAGTCCGTAGCCAATTGTTCTGATTTGGCTCCATGACCTGGCAGACCTGATATGTGCGAATGGGTGTGTAGTTTTCATCCAAGCCGCTGATCTCTTCCCACTGAGAAAAAGGAAAACGCAGTTAATCATCATTATACCGTGAGTTGTACTAAAATGCTCGGGAATAACCTCAAGGGAGAATGTTTCAGCGTGTTAAAACTGGCCTCTGTGTGAACAAATGCACAACTCCTTGATATAAAAGGATCCGCATGAATTCATCTGCAGCCATGTGCTTCATTTTTTTAAATCCTTTGCATACAGTGAGAATTTAAAATATCTGTATTCTATTAATCAAAAATAATGATTTTAAGTGCGATTATATGCTGATCATTGTTGGTATCAGTCAATCAAAACACTAAGATAGCACATTAAAATTATTTAAAATAAAAATGTTTAAAATGTTTTGTTGCAAAAAAAAATGCATAGTAATAATGTACACTACCATTATTTAGATATATTTTTTTAGAATAGTATAATTAATAGTAAAGCCATAAAATCCCACAACAAAGTTTCGTCAAGTATCCGAACATTTTGCTTCTTGTGTTAACATCAAAAATAAACTAGTTTTAATTTCTAAAAAATATTAAACATATGACTCAACCCGACTATTTTAATTTTCTGGGTTTGTCTAACAACTTCCACTTGGAAGGCTAAAATTCAATGTGCGCTGGACACTTGATGGCTGTGTTTCTTTCACTATTTGGTTAACTAAAACTAAAAATCACAATGCTGTATTTTCTTTAATACTCTAAATAAGATATATTGCAATCAAACCACCTGATAAACAATCTAATAAAATCTGAGTCCTAAAAGTTTAAATTGCTCTTACTTTGTTAGTTTTCAGGATGATTGTGTGTTCAAATCAATTGTTAAAACCTAAAGGGCTTTTAAAAACACCAACAGCAGCATAATAAGAATATAAGTTAATTTACAAAGTTCTGCAAAAGATCACTCATGGCCTTATTGTTGCACGACTCTAAAACAAATGCCTTTGTATTTTACACGCCTTCCTTAACCCTTTATTAAGGATCAACAACGACAAACAAGTTTTAAAAGTAACAAAACCACCTTATAAAGTAAAACCAAATTACTATTGTTTAGCATTTTAGAAACACTGTGATGTGGCGCAAAGACTCACAATGGGAAAAAAACACCACATAATTCTAGGTTGCACTTAAAATACAATAAGCAGTATGCGCATTACAGAGGCGAAAATCATAAATGTCTGTGTGTAAAGACAAAGTTGTAAAGTTTCCAGCTTACCCCGCTTGGAGGAGACGATATCCATTCCAGCTCTGTCTGCTGCGCCTTTGAATCCAGCAGGATCACTGCCGACGACACATAAAGCGTACACTTAGGCTACAATAATGCATCTTTAATTGTGATTAATATTTGGCACACATCTCGCGCATATTCCAGAAGCATTTTACATCGCGCTCGAGCGGAGAGACAGACTAAAAGTGAGAGAGTGCGCGACTTTGACCCATTTTCAGCAGACAGCGGTGGAGATTTATGACAATGAGCACCTTACACCTCTGAAACCTGTGCGACACCTGTTCGTGTATCAATAACCGACGGACACGCTTTCTCTCTTCGTGTGCGATACAGAAATCGGTAAAGTTCCTTGTTTGAACCGTTGCGGAGATTACGCGGATACGCGCGCGGGGTAAGAACGCGTCAAAATTAGCCGCTATTTTGTTTTTTAAATAAATTTAATTGAGGCGATATCTGTTTGTGTGTGTGTGTGTGTGTGAGAGAGATCATATGATTAAATAAATCTGATTAAATAATACAATAATTAATCCAATGGAATATTGCCATTCAAAACTCTCAAAATGGCATTAGCTGATCATTTAATAAATAAATAAAATTAATTTAATAAATAAATTCGTCAATGTGTACGTTGAGTAGGCTAATCAATACACATCTATACACAGCTAACAGATAAGCTCAACTGGACATATTTAGTACCATCCTTTAATTTCATATTTCGGTAAGGAGCCACGATACCTTCGGCTTATAGCCTAATATAGTCGATATTGATGTGTGATATTGCTACTTATTCGCAGTATGCTAGAAACCTGCTAAATCTGCCTACTCGATAACTTGGTAATGAAGCAGTTCGATTGCTTGATGATTGCAGGAGGTTTTCATCTCAGACAATTCCTTTACTCTATAGCTAACTGAAGATGATCCCATGAGTGTTTTAAAATAATAACGTGGTATGTTGCAGTCCATTTGCAGAATTAACTGTAGCCTATACTGTAACATTAAGGCACAAGCAGATCTTTTCAAGTTTGTTATCGCTTTTGTTTGCAATAGCCTACATGGAAAGCACGTAGTGTTTCCTGATGATATGAGACCGTGATACTAGGCGATACAGAGCTGTGATGTTTCATCTTAACCAGATAGTATAATTTGTCTATCACGTTTTTTATGTCAAGTTGCGATGTGCTGTTGTAAATTACACGTCTTCGCGTCTGATTAGCGAAAGTCTGTGCGTCAAGGAAATAAATACTCATTATACCAGACACACTCAGGTGTAGTCTAATGTGTGATAAAATAAAACTGTTGTCTGTCAGACTGTCGATACTGTATGTTGTAACTGCTGGTTTTCTCGGTGCTTGCGCTCGCGCTGTCAGGATGCAATAAAGGAAACTTTAGCACTCACCCTCCCTTGTGTTCTGTGCTATTCCAGTGTTCACATAAAGACAAAAATGAAGGCAAAATATAGTCCACAAACACGAAACTGAGGTGCAAACCATGGTGCAATTGAAAGTTGGCTAAACAGTGTGCGCTTTTTCCAACGCGGCGTTCCCTTCCCATTGACGACGCTCCAGCACCAGCTCTGGGTGAATAAACCAGCCGTCTCTCACTCAAATAGCATCGGCAGCTGAGGGGCGGGGCTTAGAACATTCATCGTGTCACTCACTTTGACTGACAGAGAGCACACCCACATTAGGCGCGCGAAAGGCTTTTAGTGTAAATACGCGGACGAATCACTTTAAAGCGGAGGCGGACCCTCAATTTTAGTCCAAAACAGACTAGTGTGGATTCTCACAAACTTTAAGATTCGTCGGGCAATGTAACTCGTTTGTTAAGAACATTTTAATATTCTAATGTTCGATTTGAAATGCTCTATTTAAGCTAAACGTTGTTACAGCTGTTATTAGAGTAGCCTTCTAGCCTACTGAAAAGTAAATACAGATAGGCCTATATCAAAATAAACTTTTAGAGAGAGAGAGTGAGAGAACTTTCGCTGCTCAGAATCCTACTCTATCAAGATTAGACTTGAACCTTGGGTAGGGCACTCAAGCATGTCACGACATCAGAGGAAACGTTTAGCTATATTTTTCCCAAGCCATCGAAGAGCATTACATCATAAATAGTTAAGCCCTTAGCAAATCTGGTGGCTGTCTGAGCTGTCTTTGAAAAGCATATAGCCTACTCATAGTTTGCAATGTCAAAACATTATGTTGTCAATATTCTGTCATCATACTGTTTGAGTTACAATAGCTTATCTATCTATCTATCTATCTATCTATCTATCTATCTATCTATCTATCTATCTATCTATCTATCATCTGTCTGTCTGTCTTGTCTGTTCAATTTCCCAGTGAATAGTGACATTTTTCCAGATTTTTAGAATAGTCTATTTGTGCACATGAGAATAAATTGTATTTGCTTTTATGTTTGCTTGCATCTATAGAAATTAGAGAGAGATGTTAAGAACCATTCTAGGACACTAGAACTATTAAGAATGTATCTTTAGTTGGCTGATCACAACAACCAGGACTTTTTTACATGTACTCCAAAGGGACAAATATTAAGTTAAACATATTTGTCCCTTTTACAAATTTAGCACAATTGTAATGCCTGCTGAATTTAAAAGCAAATAATGTAACAATAACAATAAAGTTAAAGTAACATATATTTGTTTTATGGAATAGCATAATAAATTATTGAAATGAATTTTCCTTTTCTGTTGTGTACACATTCATCTATTTATTTATTTATTTAATTTCTGCAGGTTTGGTCCTCCATCTCCCATGACACTTGGGATTGAAAGACAAGTATTTTGCACATGTTATTTTGTTGAAAAATATACAGAGATGTTTATTGAAATGAAAACTGTTATAAAGCAGAACTCCTTGTTGACTGACTCTAGTGAAGGACAGAAAGTCTGTTGTGTAGGTATAAAGACAGAGACAGACAAACACAGATAAACATTGACTGCTGTGTTTTTTCGAAGGTCACCTAATGAGGAAAGTGCCCTGCTGATTCTGGGCAATGGGTGTGGATGCATCGATTCATTATGTGCGTTACTGCTCAAGAAAAGTTCGAAGATTGAACTGCTGGGGTTTTAAGCGGCGCCAATGAATTGAGATAAACACAAAACACAATTAAAAAGTGTAAAGTTAATTTCCTGCTGCTCAGATGACTTGCCAAATCACTGATAAATGAAAGCATGAAAGGGACCTCATTACCCCACAAACGTATAATGCATTTGTTACAGGTCACTTATGAATCTCCATTTCCTAGAATGAGTAAAACAACTGTAATTATGCACCATAAATATTGATTAATAAACTCGGTGCACACAAATGGATGGAGGTAGACAAGGACTCATGTCAAGGTTTATTTACCTCTTTTCTTATTTGTTTTTTGTTGTTTGGCCTGTTTATTATGCAAATGATTTCTAATCCTCTTTACCCTTGATGCACGCACCTGTGTTGCATATTTCCATTTTGGTGTGTTAAACTAGCTTCTATGTAAAAGTGTTGTTTCGGATGGACATATTTTAGTAGTCAATATCTTAAACAGTTTCTGATCAGCTGGCATAGGTGTACAAATTATATTCAGAATTTGTTTTGCACATATGAATGTCATTGTCTGAGCTGGATTAGCACAACCTTGTAAGCATGTATGAATTCATGTTTGAATATTTATAATCAACAAAATGTTCATTAACATTCTCATTTAAGTGAGTCTCGTGTGATAGTGCCAGGCTTTCCAGGTTTCCTCTTGTGGTTGTTAACATATTAATTGCAGATTTCTTCTTGGTAACTCAAATAAAAAAAAATCCCCAAATCTTATTGAAACTCAGAATACGCATTTAGCAGCCACATTAGTGAGTCCTCATCAGCTTAATGTTGCCATGGCATCAGTTAATTGAATTCCTTTGTTTGAATTGGGATTATACCACAGTAGTCATGTGGAGATGACAGTTTGTGTAAGCGACGTTATACCTGACTCCACATAGAGCTCTCAAAAAAAGCTAATCATTTTAGAGGATACTTCATTCTGAGTAGGTCTTTTGTGTGTCTTCCCTGAGTATAATTGCCATCCTTCAGTAAAAACACTAACCGTCATTGTCAATTTACCAAAATTCGTTTTAAATGAAATGGCAGAATTTAAATGAAGTGTACTATTATTAAAGCAATATTTTAGAAATTAGCTTGTTGAAGTGATCCTGCACTAAAGGTAATACAAATGTTTAGTACCCCACCACCACCCTTAAAACTTCACTTTAAAAAAAAAAACTGCTATATATCCATGTCATTCTTTCTTCAGTCGAAAAGAAATTAAGGTTTTTGATGAAAACAGTCCAGGATTTATGTCCATATAATGGACTTCAATGGGAACCAAACGGTTCAAGGTCCAAAAGACAGTTTCAGTGCAAACTGCAAACTGTTCAAAGGGCTTTAAGCGATTCCAGACGATGAATAAGGGTCTAATCAAGCGAAACGATCACTCATTTAAATAAAAAAACAAAGTTTAAGTTTGATAAGCTCAAATGGTCGCCTTGTTCTGTTCTGTGATGTGCATTCGTGACTCTCCTGTTCGAATTCGTTCATCAAAATGAACAAATCTTTTTCGTGTCATTTGGTTCATTCAATGGAGAGGAGGAGAGTCCAAACAGGAGAGTCACGAATGCATATCACAGAACAGAGCAAGGCGACCATTTGAGCTTATAAAACTTAAACTTTATTTTTTTGTTTTTAAATGAGAAATCATTTCGCTTGATAAGGCCCTTGTTCATTGTCTGAAATCGTTTAAAGCCCTTTGAACAGTTTACAGTTTGCACTGAAACTGTCTTTTGGACCTTGAACCGTTTGGTTCCCATTGAAGTCCATTATATGGAGAAAAATCCTGGAATGTTTTCATCAAAAACCTTAATTTCTTTTCGACTGAAGAAAAAAATGACATGGTTATCTTGGATGACATGGGGGTGAGTAATATTAGCAAAAGTTTTTTTTTTTTTTTTTTTTTTTTTTTGTGAGTGAACTACTCCTTTAAGTGCTAGTTACCAACAAAAAGAAGGCATGAAAAAACTAGGACATGACTTGTTCAAGGTGTTCTTATTATGTCTGATCTTTTTGGCAGGTATTTGCGGTATACTTCACAGCACAAAGTGACTAGATCTCTCCATCAGCAGGCAATAACATGCTGTTTGATGTCATTTCCCTTCAGGACTGCTTGTTACTTGTTTGTTAAGTCCATTTAAAAAAAAAAAACTTGGGCAAGCCCAAAATTACTTAAATACTTCAATATATTTTCCACTTTCTTTCACCCGAGCTTGTTGGAGTGGAACACCTTCAGAGCGGCAGGCTGTCGGCCTGACCCCTTCGCTGAGGCTGGGTGAGGCACAGTCGGGCTATCTGGATACTTTGAGAGCTTGAAGGAAACACCGCCCAGAGATTTAATATCCAGAGGGATTGGAAGCCTGGAGGACGGCTGGGCTTGAGCACTCGTGGGCAAGTTTTATGCAACTTTTTATAGGTTAGTAATATAATGTCCGAATAGACCCAGACAAAACCGGGAGTGTTCAATATTACTCAGGAATTGTTGTGGGCTGCATGACTAATATTTACCTGACGCTCTGTGTTGGTGTAATAACAGATCTAGACCTGTAATGCTTATGTGTTGTAAGACATGTTCTAAATTGCAAAATGATTATTTGTGCAATTATTATTATGATATTTTTGATTAAATAAATACAGCCTTGTTGAGCATAAGAGACTTCTTCCAAAAACATTATACAATCTTGCTCAGTCCAAAGTTGAACAATATTTATAAATATTTCTTTATTAAAAAAAAATATATATATATATATATATATATATATACATACACACACGTATGAATTGTATTAAAAGAAAATTAAAACATAAATAAATTAATAAAAGAAAAAAGTGTAAATAAATCACTTAAAAGTTTTTTGTTTTTTTTTGCGCTTACAACCACAAATGGCCTACCAACTTTTGCAATTATGGTTTGCCCTTTAGACTGAACGGATTTTCAAAAAGCAGCCATTACTTTTCATGCAGAAGTGAACTGGAGGGAGTTATTCATATCTCCTTTTACCCTTTTCAAAAGCAACAATTAATGAAACTTAACATGCGCATCAATTTCAAACGTCTATTGTGGCAGGTCACTCCCACTCGTGTTTGTCTGGAGTAAAGACAAAGACACCTCATTTGTGTCGGTGAAAGCATGTTGCTGTGATCTGTCAGTTTAGACAGCGAGGCAGTTTAACTCCACTAATTGTCAGAGTAACATGAAAAACAAAGCTCTTTTTATCTATAATTCAATTATGTACAGAGCAACAGTCGCCATGCAGTACAAATCAGAGACAGAAGAGGGACTGCCTGAACCTTGAGCTATGCGAGTCTGTCACCAGAGGCGGCAATAAACTCCATGCATTGATTGATCTGCGCTCATTAAAGTGAAGAACCAAAGCCTGCTCATGTCTCTAATGTGAGCATGATTATTAGTCAAACAAAACCGATTCAAGCTTTTAACCACAACTTGTATTCTACTCAAAATGTGTGTGAAAGAGTGAAATCT